TAATGGTACTTGATGAATATGTGTTGAATAAATGAGGGAATGAATGAACAAACATATGTGTATAGGTTAAGAGTTTGCCAAATAGCCTGTTTTGATCCCAGCTCTGCCACATACTAGCTATGTAAATGTACTACTTTACTTAAACCCCTTGAGCCTTAGTTTCTACATCATAAAATGCTTAACACAGTGCCTCACATACAGTAAGTACTCAATAAATAATAGTTTAATAATATCGTGTGAAAAGGGCAACAAGGAAAAGAGGGAGTGATTAACTATGGAGATTAGAATCTAAGATTATGTACTATATATGTACATTTAGAAGTACGGAACAATTGTTGGGTTTGGGGAATTTTTTATGCTGAATGAGGATTCTACTTTATTCTCTAAAACCAAGTGTTAGGAAAAATGATCTCTGGAGTCAGTGACTCACATATTTACAGTTCCATAACCAGAGAGAGAAAAAATTTTCTGGCTAACTCAAGTTAAAAAATTCTCAGAGAAGGCCCTCTTTGGGTCAGGTCAAAGGCCCTATTTGGGTCAGGTCCATCCCTAGACCAATCATCTTAATGTGGTGTGGCAGGCAGAATAATGGCCCCTCAGACATGTCCATGCCCTAATCCCTGGAACCTGTGAATTTTATATGGCAAAAGATAGGATTTGTAGATAGGACTAAAGGTACAGACCTTGCTATGGGGAGATTGTCCTGGGTTATCCAGGTGGGACAATCTAATCATGAGTCCTTAAAAAGCAGAGAACCTATCTTTGCTGTGGTCAGAGAGACATTTGATGACCAGAAGAAGGGTCAGGGTCAAAGAGATGTGACATTGTTAGCTTTGAAGATGTTGGTAGGGGGTCAAAAGCTAGGAATGTGAGAGGTCTGAAATCTGGAAAGGGCAAGGGTATTGACTCTTCCATAGAGGCTCCAGAAAGGAAAGCAACCCTGATGATACTATGATTTTAGCCCAGTGAGATCCATGTTGGACTTCTGACCTACAGAGATGTAAGATAATACATTTTTGTTGTTTTAAGCCACTAAGTTTGTGGTAATTTGTTAAAACAACAATAGGAAACTCCTAGCCAGGGAAATAGAGTGGAAACTTAGTTTCAGTTCCTCCCCAGATTCCCTCAACCTCATCTGCCCTGCCAAGCTTGCTCAGTGAGATCTCCCAACAGCCTCCACCACTGCCCACCCTCCTCATTCACAAGAATACAGGAGTTTGAGATAATGAGGTAGATGATGCAGAGAGAAGCAGAGATAAGAGGTAGAGAGTTCTGATGCTACCTGAGCCCCTGGTTCCAGTTATTTTTTGAGGCCAAGGCCATGTCAGCATTATGGTTATACACGTTAGTTAATTCCTCTTTTTGAGTTAAATTAGTTAGTTTGAGTTAAATTTCTGTGACTTGCAACTAAACTGTTTTTCCTAAATCATAAACCTAAAGTGAGGGAGGGATGGCTGAAGGAGAAGAATTTTTAAAAAAGCCTTTGGAGGGATTTCCCTGGTGGCACAGTGGATAAGACTCTGCGCTCCCAATGCAGCGGACCCAGGTTCAATCCCTGGTCAGGGAACTAGACTCCACATGCATGCCACAACTAAGAGTTCACATGCCACAACTAAGGAGCCCGCATGCCACAACTAAGACCCAGTGCAACCAAACAAATAAAAATAAAAAGACTTTGGAGACAGAATCTGATAACAGCTTAATGTGATTTCATAGCAACCCACTCAAAAACACATTATTCTACCTTAGATGAGGAAAGACCTACTAATTGGCTAAGTGGCTTTCCCACAAGCAGGAGTGTTCTGAAATTAAAATGTGAAAATCCAAATAGGTTTGCTTTGTTTCCTTCCAATGAAACACACTGCACTTAGTGTGTCCTGCCTTATGTTAAAAAAAAGTCATCAAATTAGAGCCACTCTTTTTCAAGGCCTCGCCGCTTCCTGTTTCTGCAGCCACAAACACTTTTCTTTCCTCTGTGAGTGATGAACTCAATGCTCTAGAGTCTAGACAAGTACTGGACAATCCTGCTTTAACCTAAGTGATGGTGGGGGTGACAGGAGGACTTTTGAGCACTGGCCATTTGATCATTCTTCCTTCTCCTAAAAAAAGAGAATTAAAAAGCAGTCCCGGGGGCTTCCCTGGTGGCGCAGTGGTTGAGAGTCCGCCTGCCGATGCAGGGGACGCGGGGTCATGGTCTGAGGATTTATATTTTCAAAAGAAACAATGGAAAAATCATCAAAAATGAATAAAATGGTTACTTATAGGGAGGGAAAAACCAAGAAGAGACAAGAATGAAAGGGAAACCTCTGAAGTATCATGTTTTGTAATTTTACTTTAAAATTAAATGTAAATATTTTATATAACTGAAACATGGAAAAAAAAAAAAAAAAAAAAAAAAGCAGTCCCTATTGTTCCTGAGGCATGTTAATACAAGGCTTTGTATGTTCCATCTCAACAGATATTTTACAATTTAAATGGAAATATATAATGCCATCCAAAATTCATGACATTTCGCTTTTTGAAATATATGTATGCTTGCTCTTTAAACTTTTTTTTTCTTTTTTGGTACGCGGGCCTCTCACTGTTGTGGCCTCTCCTGTCGCGGAGCACAGGCTCCGGACGCGCAGGCTCAGCGGCCATGGCTCACGGGCCCAGCCGCTCCGCGGCATGTGGGATCTTCCCAGACCAGGGCACGAACCCGTGTCCCCTGCATCGGCAGGCGGACTCTCAACCACTGCGCCACCAGGGAAGCCCCCGCTCTTTAAACTTTGCCATTAGCAAATTAAAAAATGACTATGTCCTTTGGTGCCACAAATAAAGGAAAAGCAGTTGCATCGTTGTTGCCCCAGGGCACCTTGCTCCTATGAGGCAGGGCACGAACCCGTGTCCCCTGCAATGAAGCAGTTGCCCATGGAGCTTCACTGTGAACCCACCCTCTCCTTTTGTCTGCCTTTTCTTCTTGGAAGGAATATAGACTGCTCAGAGAAACAGAAGAGAACAAAAGTTCCAGCAATGGAGGGCTGAGAAACAAAGTGGGTAACATCTGACTGTTATATAATATTATCTTTGGTAGAAAATAAAAGGACTTGGAATAAATCTCTTTGGTCTGCTTTCTGTTTTTGGAGTTCTGAAGTTCTGAATTTCTTGTCTCATTTTTGTCTCTGAAATTAAAACAAACAAAAGAATTAGCGAGAATGAAATGTTCATAAAACTTGATGCCAAAACACCACTAGTGGACCTTCAGGTCTTAGCTTAGATGACATTTAATTCATTTGTTCAGAAGTATTTATTGAGGGACTCCCCTGGTGGCTCAGTGGTTAGGAATCCACCTGCCAATGCAGGGGACATGGGTTCAATCCCTGGTCCAGGAAGATCTCACATGCCACGGAGAAGCTAAGCCCGTGTGCCACAACTACTGAGCCTGTGCTCTAGAGCCGGTGAGCCACAACTACTGAGCCCACGTGCCACAACTACTGAAGCCCGCACACCTAGAACCCGTGCTCCGCAGCAAAAGAAGCCACCGCAATGAGAAGCCCGCACACTGCAACAAAGAGTAGCCCCCACTCACCACAACTAGAGAAAGCCCGTGCACAGCAACAAAGACGCAACACAGTAAAAAATAAATAAATAAAATAAATAAAAATTTTAAAAAGTATTTATTGAGTGTCTATCATGTGTTCTGTTGAACAAATCAAGCATATTCCCCAGGGCCACTGTGTATGGCTGTGCAGGTTAGTGGTACCCAGTGAAGTTGTTCAGGGCACAACTTCCAATACTGGAGGTAGTCCTCACTCTCAAGGAGATTATATCTAGTGACTTCTAGGAAGTCTTGCTTGAACTTTCACTCCCCTCTCAGACTAGAAAAAGCACTCCATAATAAACCCAGTCATAGCACTTTACCCGTTTGTCTATAATGGTGTCATCCTCTGTTAGATTGTAAACTCAGAGGGTACTGAGTTTGGGACTATCTTGTTTGTCCCTTTCCAGGGGCTAGGGATGCATCAGTGAATTAAACAGTCAAAAAATCCCTGGCATCTAGGAGCTGATAATCTAGAAGAGAGAGTAAACAAGTTCAGTATATAGCATGTTAGATGGAGATACACACTATGGAAACAAAACAAGTAGGGAAGGGATCTTTCTCTTCCCTTACTTTGGATCTTTGCTCAGATGTCACCTTTTTTTATTTTGAGAGAGGAAATCTTTGGAGGTTCACAGTAGAGGAGAGATACTATCTGTCTAAAAAGAAAAACGTTTAGGAATAGAACAGTAAGTACACTTAGCAAACAGCTAGTAAGGCAGTTATCAGCTCTCCACTTTGCCAGGAATCAGGCCACAGTGAATAAAGACATATAGAATATAGAGAATGAGGGCAAAGCCCTTCCCCTCTAAAACTCTGACACTTTCAGATTCTTTCTAAACACATTTTTAACAAACATCCTGGAGAACCCTCGTGTCCTAACCTGAGCTGGTTTTGCATTGTTGCAAAACAGCACCTCACATCTTTTAGTATCAGCCTACAGACCTTTTGTACGTGGCTAGGGTGTCTGAGGCTACGGAGCTCTTCTCTAAGCCTTTCTAACCCACCCTACTTGAGAAAGTGTCCTTATCAGGAAATGACGTCCTGGATACCAAGAGACTCCGTTATACTTAACACATATTCCTATCCGGAATTTTCACACTGGTTTTGCCTCGAGGATAGGCATAAATGTATCTCTTCCTTCCGACTCTCTGGGCTTAGCTTCCTAATCTTTTGACAGGAGCCAATAAGCATCCTCGCCCCAAGAACCCCTCTCTCCTCATAGGCCACTCGCCCGCGCCGCGCAGCCTTCTGGAAGCTGTAGGCCCCAGAGGTCCTCCGCGTCAGAACTACAACTCCCGGCAGCCTTTGTTTCCCCACACCTCCCTCTTGGCGCATGGCCTGTCGGGAGGGGGCAGGTAGCGGGGGGGCGGAGTCCAATGGGTGCTGGCTCCCGAGGAGAGGGCGGAGGAGAGGAGGAAGGAGGCGGGCTCTGGGCCGCGGCCCCATTCATTGCCGCGGCCGGCCGGGCGGGGGTTCGGTATTTTCCGAGTTATGGAGGCGCTAATTCCTGTAATCAACAAGCTCCAGGACGTATTCAACACGGTGGGCGCCGACATCATCCAGTTGCCTCAGATCGTGGTGGTGGGAACGCAGGTGAGAGACGAGGGTGGCTTCCGCCCAGGCCAGAGCCCGGTGCGCGGGCCTGGACGGGACTGCGGCAGCGCTTGCTCCCAGACTGGCCGTCGCGGCCTGTGGAAGGAGGGCGCTGTTGCGCCTGGGCGCCCGTGGCTGCGTTCCACTGGGGCTGGGAGTCCAGGGCCCGGCCCGAAGGCGAGGGGCGGAGCCGGCGCGGCGGTCCGGCGGGTCCCGGGGGCGGGACGGACGGGCGGGCGGGCCTAACTGGAGTCCGTGGGGACCGGACGCGGCTTCGCCCGCGGGCCGCTGCTTCCAAGGGCGCCTGCGGGGCGCGCGGGACACTTGGGGCCGTACTGGGCGCGCGGGGCGGGTAGCCCCTTCTTGATTGGTTTCAGGTCGGCGGGGTGTTTTATTTCCCTCGTTGCCTTGCTCAGGGGCTGCGGAGTCAGTTTTGGAACTGCGGAGTCGGGGCCGAGAAGGCCGCTACTGTGTGCACCTGAGTGTTTTCCTGCAGTGTAATCCAGGTTTCGAGAACGCCGAAGCAGTTAAAAACAAAAAAAACCCAAACCAACTTGTACTTGGAGTTTGTGGGTGTTAGAAGGGGTATCCAGTTTTTCTGCGTAGGCTGTGGTTTTTGTCGACCATCTAAATTGGGCATCAAGGTTCTCTGATCCTTTCATGTTGGCATTTCTTATAGATAACACATTTTTATATGCGGAAATATTGAAGAAATAAATGTTATTTCTAGAAGTGACAGAGAAGTATAAGTTTCATTTTTTCTCCCTGCTGCTTTTCTTGGTTGAAGAGTAATCAACCATAGGCCTTTTTTTTATTAGAGTTCAGAGAAACGCATTTTTGAGATTACTTAGTATATTGATTTTAGGTGCTTTCCTTTTTTAATGATGTTTTCTGTTGGAAAGGGGACGATTTCCTCACTTTCCACGAGGTTCATCGCTACATCTTGCTACAAAATTGATGTGTAGGGTGTAACTATTTTGAGAGGGAACTTAATGTTAAAAATATAATAGAGTATGTCCAGACACTGGAAACCTTGGAAACCATAGACATCCTAAGGTGGGCGGGAGGGACTTTTCAATAGTTAAAGCAATAGAAATTACTTCAGAAACACATTTCCTTTGTTGGCCATGGGATTGGTATAGATTCTGCCCAATCCTCCCTTAATATTTGTAATGACTTAGAGACTCTGGATCATCAACATAATAAATTATGAGAAATATATTTTTTGAGTATATTTTGTTTACTGCTGTGTTCCTATTCCTAGCTCTTGGAACAGTCTGGGGTATGTAGGAGATGCTCCATAAATACTTTGAATGAGTTACTAGATAGTATTTTTAAAACACTGGGGCTTTTATCATCAAAACCGATTTGTTTTTGTAAATAAAATTAGAGGAGATGATATAAATTAAATCTTCTTGGGTAGTAATTTGGAAGTGTTTCCTAGCTGTAGACCAGAAAATTTCCATATACTTTTAAGAGAGTCTCAATGCTTTTTAAGCATGAAGCAGTAAAAGAATCAGAACTATAGTGTGTCAGTATAAATAGTTTAGAATCAAGAAGGATTTTTCTTACATGAAATAGAATTTATTTCAGTGAGTACACCTGTTTGCAAAATTGTGGAGGGGACGGGGTAGAAAAGTAAAGATTTCACCATTGTGAAAGCCATTAACATATGCCAGCAAAAGCCATCCTAGTAGTGATAATTATATGCCACTTTTGAATGTTGATGTTTGGAATTACTCTGAAGGGAAATATTCAGTTTTTAGACTTGATTTAATGAGGGTTATCTCCATTTGTGTCCTTATTAGCGGAAATTCAGTCCTTTATTATTCAGGTACAGAAGAAATAAATAAGAATAGAAGCAATGTCTTTTCTCCTATAGTTTCCTCAATATGTTGGAAAAAAACCTCTTCTTGATTTGAATACAAGTACACCACTACTTTGTCATCTAGGCTAGTTAATGTTGTGTAGCATGTATATATACAGCACCTCACATTCATATTTAATGGAGTAGTGTACAGTGAGTGAGTTTCAGATGTAGTAAATGTTCTGTGCGTAGTTCAACTGGTAAATTTCTCAGTGGCAGTGATCATGTCTCTGTCTTACGCTTTACCTGTACTTTAAATGGCTACAGGTCACATTTTTGGGAACTTTTTATAACAGTGATTCTCAAACTTGGGTGTATATAAGAATTACTTTGAAAATAAGTTTCCTGGACCCCATCCGCAAAGATTTTGATTTTATAAGTCTGGGGTGCTCCAGGCACCATAGCCGATTCTGATGCAGATGGTTCATAGATGTATATAGTATATTAGTGAGTCTTTGATTTTATAGTGCATGAAACTGGAAAAAGCAGGGAAGACTAGTCTAAGGGCATACTGCTGTTAAGTAGTAGGTTGGTTTTGGTGGCATTATTGCTCCAAAGTATCAACTTCCAGGCAACCTTTGCTGACCCCTAAATATTTTAAACTTTGATTTCTTAAATTGCCCAAATAATACTGTTTTGGGGCCCAGAGAGTTGGAGTAGTTGAGGAGAGAGATGTTTATAGCTGTCGATCATTCACAGTTTTTATGATTTAGCTGAATAAATTGCTTTCCTTTTTCTCTAGCCGAGATCCTCTGTGTGGAAAGAACAGAAAATGGGGAGAGAGAAGGTTGATACTTTTAGACCTTGGTGTACTTTGCAGGTGGAGAAGGAGATAAGATTTCAATGACATTTGTGACTCAACTTGGGAAATTTAATCACTGTTTCTTAAGTTGAGAATTGGAAGGGGGAGCCCTCCAGGTATGTAATCCAAACCACAACCTAATATAGGAATCTCAATACAGATGACATTAACCTGAGACTCTGGCTCAGTGCTGCTAGTATTGTGCTTTTTTTTTTTTTTTTTTTTTTTTTTTTTTTTTTTGCTTATTTTATTTTTGGCTGCACTGGGTCTTTGTTGCTGCGTGCGGGCTTTTCTCTAGTTGAGGTAAGTGGGGGCTACTCTTCGTTGTGGTGCTTGGGCTTCTCATTGCGGTGGCTTCTCTTGTTGCAGAGCACAGGCTCTAGGCGTGCGGGCTCAGTAGTTGTGGCTTGCGGGCTCTAGAGCACAGCCTCAGTAGTTGCGCACGGACTTAGTTGCTCCATGGCATGTGGGATCTTCCCAGACTAGGGCTCGAGCCCGTGTCCCCTGCATTGGCAGGCGGATTCTTAACCACTGCGCCACCAGGGAAGCCCTGTGCTTTTTCACTTTGCCTTTTATTTTGGTAATTTCAGCACTCTACTTTCAGTAATTCAGACAAATACAGAAGGAAAAGGAATCTTGGATTTTAAATGACCAATCTGCAAACCAACTGTTCAAATTTAACATTTAAAAAATTAAAATATAATTCATATAACATAAACCCCAACATTATAAAGTGTTCAATTCAGTGGTTTTTAGTATATTCGCAAGGTTATGCAACCATTGCCACTATCTGATTCCAGAGCATTTTCATTACCCCAGAAAGAAACTCTGTATCCATTAGAAGTCACTCCCCATTTTACGCTCCCCGCCACTGCTCCTCCCTGCTGGCAACCACTGATTTCTGTCTCTATGAATTTGCCTATTCTGGACATTTCATATAAATGGAATCATAAAATATGTGGCCTTCTGTGTCTGGCTACTTTTGCTCTGTTTTTTAGGATCATCCATGTTGTAGCATGTATTAATACTTCATTACTTTTTATGGATGAATAATATTCCCTTGTATAGATATGCCACAGTTTGTTTATCCATTCATTAGTTGATGGACACTTGGGTTATTTCCACTTTTTAGCTATATTGAATGATGCTGTCATGAACATTCGTTAACAAGTTTTTGTGTGAACATATGTTTTCAATTCTCTTGGATATGTATAGTTGACACTTGAGCAACATAGGTTTGAACTGCGCAGGTCCACTTACATGCAGATTTTTTTCAGTAAATACTACAGTACTACCCATTTACATGAAGATTGTTTTCAATGAATACTGCACTACTACATGATCTGTGGTTGGCTGAATCTGTGGATGTGGAACTGTGGCTCCAGAGGGCCAACTGTATAATTATATGCAGATTTTTGACCACCCTGGAATCAGTGCCTCTAACCAGCTGTGCTGTTCAGGGGTCATCTGTACTTAGGAGTAGAATTGCTGGTTCATTTGGTAACTCTTATTTAACTTTTTAAAGAACTGCACATTTTTCCACAGTGGCTGCACCATTTTACAAACCTTTATCTGGTATGTGAGGGTTTCAGTTTCTATACACCCTCACCAACTCTTGTTATTGTCTTTTTTAGAAAGTGCTAAATCATTCTGGAATTCTTTATTTTACAAAAAGCCCCCCCCCCCCACATCCCCGCCTCCTGCATTCTGCAGCACTGTTATCTACATTTTATTAGCTCCTTCTGAAATCTTGCTCTCTCCTGCCTGATATGCCTACATTTGTCTTGTGTTTGTAGAGGTGATGGCTTCATTAAGTTTAGTAATTTGGTGCCAAATATTGATCTTAGTTTCATTCCTTCAGTGTTTTCTTGTGAGTACTCTTAAGTAAACTTATGTTTTTCCCTTTCCTTTTCTTTTTTTACTAGTTTTCTCTGTGTAGATCATGTGCTGCTTACTTAAAAAAAATTTTTTTTAAAGCATTGAAGTGAAATTTATATAACATAATTAGTCATTTTAAAGTGTACAATTCCGTGGCATTTAGTACATTCATAATGTTGTGCAACCACCACCTCTTTCTAGGTCCAAAACATTTTCATCACCCCAAAAGAAAACTCTGTATCCATTAAGCAGTCATTTTGTAATTCTCCTTTCCCCTCCAGTCCCTGGCAACCACCAATCTTCTTTCCTTCTTTATAGATTTACCTATTCTGGATATTTTACAGAAACAGAATCATACAGTATGTGGCCATTTATGTTTGACTTCTTTCACTTAGTATAACATGGTTCCTTCGTATTGTAGCATGTATCAGTACTTCCTTTTAATTGCTGACT